TTTTTATAAAAGAGTTAATGTCTGTCATTCTTATACAATCTCAATCTCAGTTGTTTTTGAAAAATTGCTGCCAAGTGAATTTGCTGGAGAAAATTTATTTACCTCGTAGTAGAAGACTGTCACAAGTCAAAATATTTTCAAGTTGCGACGTTGTGCCAGTAAAAGTGCTGCGTACACTCACTGTATTAATTTACTTGTGACACTATTCATCCAGCGATTGCAACATAAGTTTAAAAGAATAACGAACTTTTACTTTCGTGCGGCAAATTTCACACATATACAATAGTAACACCATTATAGCATGTAGGAAACATCTTAAGCATTACTTCTTATGAACTTAACTCAAAATCGAAATTCTTTTTACACAGAATAGTATTAGGTTATTAAGATTCAAGCTCGAACCGTAAAATGGCTGTTTATTCTAATTTGATTATATATCATAACGGTCCTATTTTTTCTTAATAAAATTTGAGTTGTGACGGTATTCTTCTCGAGATGCGATATATAAAAAATTTTTTTGAGAAAGATACTCTGACTTCGCAAATTATTCTCTTCTTCCTTCATTAAATGAAAATTGTGGGAATTTCTTGCGCGTACCTGCATCGTACGCGATCGATTAATGCCGTATGTATACATATAGTGACGTGCTAATGCTGCGTGTAACGTTAACAGTAACAACGTGTTGAAGAAATTAGCATTGAATAGATAAACAGCCTGAAATAGATACACTTCGAGTTTGCTGGAATATAAGGGGTTCCTCGCGGCGAAGGGCGCGCAGCTTGTCGCGATAGGCCAACTTTAAATTGCGCCGTTGAAACTTTCATCGCGTTTCGCAAGATAGATAACTTAGAACGATGCTACAACGGCGCGAGAGAATTCGTGCATGCGTGCTCCACGAAAATTGCCATGTAAAATAGCGCCCTGTGGTCCCCCCTCACCCCCCTCCCTCTCCTCGTCTTATGCAAAGAAGTTTCGGCGAAATTATAAGCTGCGCTTGAATATCGCTACATTACGGAACGTGCATAGGCATCGCTGGTAATATACAACGTTGCGCTTTAGAGAATTGTTTGCTGATAAAGCAATGAATCGATTATCAATAAAGTGGGTTCGACGTTTATTGTATCTCCGATACAAACGATGTTGGTCGCAAAATTATCTATAAGATAAAATTCAACGAACAACGTATAAAATAAATAGCGACGTTTAATATAAGATTTATAGAGTAGTAATATTCGATTATGCAGTGTTAAAATTACCTCAATCAATGTTGTGAAAAATGAAATTGCGAAACAATTATGCATGTGTATAATTTTATCCCAAGAAATGAGGCAAAATATTCTATTCATTTAGTTGAGAAAGAGTTGAAAAAAAAATCAGACCTATTAACGTTTTTAATGCTTTGAGATCAAAAATAGAGAAAGCCAATAATTGCCAAGCATTTTGCCATTATTTCGATTCCGTGCTTCGACGTCAAATCGAGGAAGCTTATCGGCAAGTCACTGCGAACTGCAATGCATTATGCAGATAAAAGTTGTATAACAAATGCATTTAATCTGCCGATATTGCGATTCCGCTCGCGGAGGCTTCAGATAGGTCTGCAATGTAATTCCGGTTTAGCCCCGGATTTCCGAAGCTCTTGAAGCTTTCGAGTGTATGTGTTATTATATACATATACATGCTTTTAATATCAGCAGCGTATTGCAAGGTAACTTTGCTACTTCGGCAACTTCGCGAATCGGCAGCTACAAAGTCGCGCGCGCGCGCGCGCGAGTAGGAGCTGAGATACCCCGCAAGCGTCGCAAAACAAAACTGGCGCGCATTCGAGTTTGTATTTATCAGTGCCCCCTCGGGCACGATAGATTCGCTGATTAATTTCCTTACGGAACACTTACCGCGCTCAAAAGGCTGTGCACTACCCCAGCGCGGCGCAGCGCTCCGAGCTGCGAGTCCGTAATTAAATGGCACACAGCAGCAGATATATATCACTCCCAATAACTAATGTACCGGGATCAATTCTGGTAATGCACCAGGGATGAGGGGGGCTGAACCATGAAGAAAAGAAAAATTACTCTATCGGTTATCCGACTCGACCAGGCAGGACGAGCCAATTTCGTTCAATTAAATCATCAGAATTCTCTCTTTTGCTTCATATACTTCTTTATAAAAAAAGTTTTCTGATATATATATATATTATATAATGGGCTAATTATAAACGTAAAGATGTTGCTTCATGATTTATTTTATTAATTTTGACTCACGGTCTAACTAAATATAGCACTTATTTATATTATACCGCACTAAGAGAAAAGTAATTGATAAACGAGAAAGACTCTATTTTTATAATCGACAACAAAAGTAATTGATATTTGCGACTATAATTATATAGTAAAAATAGTAAATAATTATGGTTGAGGTTCTTATTTTTATAGTTATTATTGCTATAATAATTTTTAATTATTTATTTTTATCATATTTATAGTACGATTTAGTATACATAAATCACAGATTGTAGTGTATAAAACCATATAGTCATGGTTGAATAAATGCATGTTAAAGTTATGGCAGCAATAATGTAGTATGGAATCAGCTATATAATATTCGCATTGTTAAAATAACTATAGGTAAGAATGTAGTTGGCACCGAAAATAATTAAAAATTATAATGAAATTGTGGTAACTTCAACTATTTTTTTCTCTCAATGCAAAAGAAATCTTTAAAAAATATATATAAACCACGAGTTTGTTAATCAGCAAGTTCTAAATTGAAGATATCGATCGATTCGAGGGCCTTGAATTTCACATATGAAATTCATGCAAAATTCAACGCGATCTCTGCTTTTCACAAATTGTTTCCTGGATTCCTCCGATTACGAATAATCTCTAATTCGCCATAAATAGGCAACATATCTCTGAATACCGCGTATAGCTGGAATTTAACCCCAGCATAACACGTACGCTATCATCCACGATTATGACAACGAGGTATCAGCTGCCAGGCGGAGGGTCTCGAGGGCCCCGGGTTTCCCTCCCGGAACCGCCAACCTGTGCTTGAAATCGATCGATCTTCATTTTCGAAGAAAGGCGCGCGATGTTGGCGCCCACCAAAAGTTGCAATTCTCGTAATACGGCGCGAGAGAGAATGGCGATGGCCGAGGCCCCGAGGTCATTCAAGATTGATGCGATAGGTTAAATTAACAGGATGCTCGAATTAATCCATTCTAAATAACCCGGAGTCATCTATCTTACCGACCCGGCGGAACTGCCGGCGACTTACCGTGTTCGCTTGATTTCCCTCGGTTTACGATAGAGAAGCGGTAGAGAATTCACAACACGCCCTTGGTCCTCCAGTCGAATCCTCCTTTGAATCTTCCAAGAGACTTTTTGTCAAATATTTAATGGTCTCTCTATATGCAGGAGGCTTTCATACGCCACGAAATAAGAGAAAAACTGGAAGGTCTTTATATAATTGCAGAGCTATTTGAAAACGTGAAATTTGACATTATGCCCTGCAATAGCTTTCCATGAAATTAAAAAAAATATCGACTATCAAGGATTCGTTATTTTAAAAATCTAGAAAGTATTATCGATTTGACGATCGTTAGCATGAGCGCCACTGCGGTTCTACAAATTTTCCGACCACGTTTGGCAATCCCACTCGCGATGCTGCATCACTGAGGGCTACAATTTGCATACGCAGCGATAAGACAGCGGAGATTCGAACTTTCAAATAAATAGCATAAGTTCCGTTACATCAAACCACTAGTTTAATACTAATATTATGCTAATATTCGAATATAACTCTGATATTAATAGTCAAAGAAAATAACGAAATGTAGTCAATGTTTTATCTGTAGGTAATTTATTCACCAAAAATAAAACAGAAAATATAATCTGAAACATTTCACGTAAAAATCGTAAAAAAATACTTATTACTCTTTTTTTGCAAAAAAAAAAAAAACATATTAATTATAAATTTTACGATCAAAATCGTAATTATGACGTAATTTGTAAGAGAATCAGCTTCAAACATCTGTTCATGTGACCTCCTCTTTTTATTCGTCCCAGTTAAAAATGAATCTTTAGTCGCGCGAGCACTTGGATTTAGAAAGAAAAAAATGGATGCTTTACGTAAAGCGTCTCTCGCATTCGGAAAGCGTCGGGAACCGACGGAGAATAATAGATCTGATTAATGCGTGATGGTATCAGCGGCACACAGGTACGGGGCAAGCAGCGGACAGTCAATGGCCGCAATTTACACCATCAGCTTTCTGATTGTATCTAATGGGGCAGCATTCTGCTGACGTAACCGCTTGATCGGCTTGATGGTCCAGAATGGGAGCGACTCTCAATAAATCGACAACCGGGGGATCTCTTCGGTGACAGCGCGCGCGCGGTCCATATGGAAATTGCGTGCACTTCCGTTTAGCGGGCGTCCTACTCCGCTTCTCGTATTCCGCGCGCTGATGGAACACTCCGCTGTCTGGAGAACATGTGGCTGGTTGGCCGAGGGAAGGCGAGGGATTAGCGCAGGACACGAGATAATAGTCCGCTAAATACACCTCGCTGAGACACGTCTTGGCGTGGTGTTATAGCATCGAGCTAGTGAACAATTTGTCTTCGCCGGTTATCGCATATCTTAGGCGTCGCAACAGGTGTTCTCCATGTCCCATAATGCAGATAGTGAAAAACTAATTTCTTAGCGGTAATGTGACGTCGGCGCGAGACACTTGGCCGACGTCATTCCAACGCGAACGTTAATATAATATCCTTGCTGCGCTTGCATGCGTGACACAATGATTACCACTTCATTATACCGCGCAAAAGTAATTAAGACCCTAAAATTACATGATTGTTTATGTATTCGAAAAGAAAGAAAGAAAGCAAAAATATACATATTCAGTTAGCCAAAGAAATCAATCACGCGAAGACGCCGGATTTATGAAGGCAAACCTGATCGTAGTACATTTGTCGAAGGAAAATATATACTTATTTTTGTTATAGATACTACTTGGCCACCTCGGAACGCGAGTCGGCGGTTCAGCATCTGTACAGAGTGTCGCTGCTGGATCCGGGGCACAAGTCGGCGTGTTTGACTTGTAACGTTGTCAGGGAGAGGGACGGTAGCCGTTGTTTGTACAACAGCGCTAAATTCTCCACTGACAATTCGCATTACGTGCTCACTTGCGCCGGACCCGGAGTACCCGATATAGCCATCTACAATAAGGTACGCATCTATCTGATACTTCTATCTTTTTTGCAGCTCTGTCTACCGTAAACCGTCTTGAAACTTAGAAAGATTTCATACGTTTTTCTAATTAAAACAATTTTTAAAGGTATTAAATATAGGTATTAGCTATAAAGTGTAGAGATAAGATATTTACAATATCAATCACTTAATCAATATCAATAAAATACGCTAATAAAACTATTGTGAAAATAGATGATGCGTTTGATAAAAGAGATAATTAGCAGCGATGTACAATGACGCGAAACGCAGAGCAGCGTATGGGTCCTTCTTTCGTAAAATACACGGTAAAATTTTATGTAATTTTAACATTTTTTACATGTCCCAAAAAGTTCACTCTAAATTTTAAGTTAAAATGACTCATTCATCGTGTGTTACTTGTTGACAAATTAGAAATGTTAATTAATTGATATTATACTTTACATTTATATTTGTTCTTTCGACTTTATTTTTTAAGTTATATTAACACATGATATTAATTTTTTTACACATTTTACTTGTATTATATGTAATAGAAACATTTAATTTTAGTCAATTTGATTATTTTGTGTGTCAAAGTTTACGATTATTTTGAAAATTTACTTTAACTTTTACTGTGTTAAAATAACTTTAAGACGTGTTGATTTTTTAAAGTAATTGTGTTAAAAGAACTTAAAATAATATTCAATTTCTAAATGACATATATAAAGTGTTAAGTTATCACGTTGACATAAATGTAACACATGAAAATGTTAAGAAAAAAATAACATACCTGTTGTATGTTAATTTTACATTGAAATAATAATCAAATCTTGGTAACACAAGAAAATTTTAACATTTTGACCGCTATGTACACACGATTTTTTACTGTGTAAACACGACGATACGGGTGTACCTAAAAAATTTGGAATGCGTAACGGCATGGAATTATATAATCATGGATAACATAATTTGCGTACGTTACGCGTCTAAATTTCGGTCTTCGAAGCAATTAATATCTGAAATTCAAAATAATGAGCGATAATCCATCAGATTTCGGACCTCTAATTTCATTAGGCGATGGGAACGTAACAGGTATCTCGTATATTCCCGCTTTCTCCCATACCAGTTTCAAGCTTTGAGCGCAATGTTATTGCTGCGCGGCGCGTTTGATAGGTTTCATCAATCATTACGTTGTATGCAGCCCAGATTTCTACAAATTTGATCCCCTCCGAATAGAGCGAGAGCGCGCGCGCGCGAAAGAGAGAAAATTCGTGCATATATCCTGTGAAATTCCTTTTGCTCCGCGCGTTGCATTACAAATCACAATATTATATCCGGAACCGCGAACAATAATTTTTCGCATTGCACGCGCGCGCGCGCGTGCATTTGCATACGATATAGACGTATGGATGACGGCCGCGTAATTCTGCTAGTGAGAGGTACACGAACCCGCGGGTGGGTTCGCTATCAGACAAGCGAATCGAATAAATTTTGTTACAGCAATAGAATACGCGTAGTAGGTACTATGCGCCGCGATTTAGTCCTGGAACGTTGCGCGCTGCGAGTAATATACGAGCGGCGGTCTGCACACCGGTGCAGTGCACGGTGCGGCGGTGGTAACGGCATAACAAAGCTCGAAATCCCGCGCGCAAAACACATTGCGCCCGCGATACCCGTTCGCTCGGCCTAATCAGATCGAAATCACGCCGAGACAGATTATCGCGACATTGTTGGCGACCTCGTAAAAAGCCCAATACACGCGCGGCAAACGCGATTGCACGCCGGCGATGTGTTAAGCCGCGAGTAAACTCCCTCGTATTGTTTTTGAATTCGTAGAAGGGGATTAATTGGACGCGTAAACCGAAAAGTTATTTATTTTCACGCGCCGATGTAACTTGAATCATGCATATTCGAACGTGTAATTAGAACTTGTATAATAATTAAATGCAAAAAATGGGAAAAAAATAAACTTTTATTGCGATTAAATTGCTGAAAACTGAAAATTGTTGGAAATTGAAAAAAATAAGCTGCCGTATCGTGTTTTAAAGTGACGGTGCGCTGCAAAACTATTCAAATGTTGCCTCGGCTCTGTCTCTCTGGCCTATTTGACCGCATGCAATGCCTGCAACCATTTTCGACCGGGTCACGTTTTGTATCAATTTCCAATTTTGCTAACGTAAATAAAACATGTTGAGAGAAATGACGCAATCAACAACAGCCGTTGGTTGGAATCGACGATTCGGAAGTGTCGCGTATAAATTTAATAACTTACCAGAGTGAACAATGTTGCAGAATAAAACAAAATTTGTCGCTCATAGTCTTTGGTGTAACACTCGTCAAAAAAAATTTAGCGTCACTTTTGAATTTATCGAATGACAAACCTCGCTTAAATCTTTAACGAATTATTTTTTAAATATAATAAATTTAAATGATTATAAGGAATACGTTTTAATATTGTTCAAACGTTAATTAAAATTACGGAAGATGAATGTCGAATATTCTGTAAAATGCTGAATATTATTATAGAACTCGCAGAACTCTTTTTGCTGAAGAAGCAAACGTGTAGGAGTAGCTTTACCCGTAACTTTTCTATTTATAAAGCATTGTTATGCCAATTTGATATGTAATCAGAATGCACATGGCCATACGCATTCATATATGCGATATTATTGCTTTTATAGCGATATTCTTGATAGCGCCCGCATGATGGTGATCGCGTCATGTTGCAAAATGAAATCGATAGTTATGGATGTTTATGTCAGTGTTGCTGTTTACTAAGTTCCAATATTTGTTAATATTGAGATATTTCGAAATCTTTGTATTATACAATTTTTATGAGACGAGAAACAGAGAGAGGAAAGAGGAAAATCGGTTCGAGGAGAAGCTTCTGCTTGATCGGTATACTCAGGCCTTTACACCAAGTCATTCTAGATCGACGTTTTATGAGGAAGATAGAAGAAGATTGATGAAGGCATTAACGAGTATCTCTCGACAAAAGAAGAGAAATAAATTTAAAAATACTGTAAAATTTATTTGTATAATATTTATATAATTATAACAAAATGTATTTTTTTAATATTAAAGGATCTCAATTGGAAAATGTAGCTTTTTGCGCGAAATTCCGATAATTTCATATTGCACGTGATTTTAATCGCTATTCAATTCAATTCAATTGTCGCTTCCTCCCTCCGAATTGTAGCCATAGTGTCGACAAATAAAATATATTTAATTAATTATGATTAGCAGATTTACTTTATTAATTAACAATTAATCAACATTGGTGAAATCGTGAAAGCCGTTATGGTATTCATATACGTAAATATTAAACTTGATTAACTGCTCATATTAACGCAAACACGCGTTCATTATAACTTCTAATTACTACATTTTGTATATGAACTCTGACAAGAGCATATTATGTAGCGAGCATGTAGCGCGTGTATTATGGTGTTTTCTGTACAAACATTATAAAATTTTATGCATATTCCATTCTCATTCATGAACCGTTTTTGTGAGATACTTATTGTTACTGCTTTTTTTTAGTATTAAATTCTTCTTAAATATTGAATTCTTTTAAATTAAAATTTAAAAAAAAATTTTTAGTTTATTATTTATTTTAGATGATTAATAATAATATGAGAGTTTATTAAATATAGAAGATATCACTTACAATTATTAATTGCAGAAAGCAATAAGGGAAGCAATTTTATCGAAAAGTCTTCATAACCCGCAATAAATAAAAATCATGTAAAATTTAAATTGGTTGAATAGAATAAAATTATAAAATAAGTTATATAAATACATATCACTCGAGAATAAACAATTACGTCTATTGTTTTTTTATCGTCTCCATAAAACTTAAATCCAGAATTATTTGGTATAAGAGGCTGAGTATACTAGTCTAGAAGGAACACCTCTTCAGACCGATTTTCCTCTTCCCCCTTTCCAGTCTATCTATAATCTATCCATCCATTTGCTTATTCGCCAATCTACCTGCGCGCCCGCCGTTCTCGGATAAAAAGTTTGCGGTTGGATGAAAGTTTCATTACTTTCGATAATCAAATTCCTCCGTCGACTTTCCATGATGACAGGCGGGTCGGGGCGTCGCAAATTATCGGAGCAAGAAAAGGAAGAATCAAGAAAAGCAAAAAACGATGACGGATTGTTCACATACGAGGAAGATCCAAATCGGCAAATTAATTTTAATAACAATTGAGAGCACCGCCGAAATAAAAATGCACGTACCACATTTTTTACTCTCGATCAGCTTCAAATAAACTGGTTCAAGTTTCTATTTAGCTTTCGTTGATATCAATTTAAATTCTATAATATAATAAAATAATAAAATACACTGAAACTACACTAAAATATAATAAGATAATACATGTACATATACAATAATATAATAAAATATAAATTTTATACAGCTAGGTATCTTTAGGACGTTTTAAAATGTCTCTTCACCACCACGCTAGTACGGATGAGTACGCTCAATTTACATCGAGCTATCTCTTTTGTAATCTGATTACCGCAGCGACAGACGGACGGAGGAGGAAAGGGATCAAGTGAAACTGGTCGAACTTGGAGGGCACCTGACGCGCAAAATGTCGAGAACGAATCTACGTGCTTTATCGCGATCAGCGGAGCGAAAATCTGACTATCCGGCGCCTTTATCGCTTATTTTCGCGCGGCCGCTTAATGCTGATAATTGGTCTTCTCGCTCGGGAAACCGTCGACAATGAGCGTTAATCCAATTACGTTAAAGAGCGACCTTGTCGATGAAATTCGCGTTTCCAGACCCGTGCGGATCGGGTCTGCTTTCTTTCGTCTTTGGCCGTTATAATTAACAAATAGTCGTACATCTCTCTTTTGCTTCGTAAGATCTACAACGAATAATTATGGATAATCTATAAACGCGCTTAAAAAGATTTTTTTATCCACTTTTATCATATTGTAACAAGTCGCGAAATATTATACCATCCACACTTACTTTCTCGATATTTTCTCTTCTTCAAATCAAAATGATCATAAACACTGATTGTTATTGATTTGCAGATGAGATATCACATTTATGAAAACTTTCCGCGTAAAAGAGCGCGGTGATATTTTATACATCACCGCACACGTTTTTAATATCATTTTTCGAGGATTAATAGAGCGATTTGTTATACGCGAATATTACACGTGCATCAGCGAAGTCGCAAACGGGCACGTACAAAATCCCCTCTGGAATCCCTTTGTCGATCTTCGCTGCACTTTGACGCGATTTATGAGGCACTCCTGCATGCCGATCCAATTACGTCGATATTATGATACGGACTATTATCGAAATTTACAAAAGGCTCAAAGTGATGCCAATTGATTGCGCTTGACTCTCTCGATATGCCATTATTATACTCTCCGCTGCGCCGGAAGAAACTCCTTCATCGCTGGGAAAATTCGTATATAATTCACGCAGCGAGATTTTTCATTAATTTAGAGTTAATTTTTTCTCTCGCGAGCGATTAACAATGGTTCCAAACTCGCGGTATGCAAATACAATTCTACCACAATTCTAACTCGCGGCTGAGTTTCCATGACGATAAAGTTCAAATAAGTTACATACCATTATTTGAACTTTTCTCTTGTTCTCTCCGCGCTCTGGAAAGGAAAAAATATCGAGCGCTTTCATTATAGGTGACGCGACAAATTAAACGAGAATGTCGAATTCTTCCTTGCAGGTCAGTATTTATCATTAAACTTGATTAAGCTGGGAAATTGAAATAAAATTTTGTTTAATTAATAATTAATTTATAATTTGAGAGCGACTTTTTAAAAGATTGAAAAAGTAAAATAATAATATATTTAATATAATTAATATATTTAAGGAATAAATCGTAATATATTTAAGGAATTTGTTTTTATATATCTCTCAAAAAGCTAAAATCCACTGTAAAATTAACACTGTAGAGTGAAAAATGCTCCGTTGCTTCTTGGCTTCTTCAAAACTTAATCAACCTATCCTTATACGTGAAGCATATTCGCAACGGCGCAAACTTGCGGCCGTCCTATATATCTGGTGCAGCAAACCGCAAGAGGGAGGGGAAAAAATATATATATATCCGCCTCTCGATCGAAAATCGATATCGCCACGTCATATCGCGATCGGTACGGGATTCCCACAAAAGCCGGAAACCACCTCGCCTGAGATCGCCTGTCATTCGACGAAGAAACTTCGGTAACGCGGATCCGCGAGCGCGAACGCCCGGAGAAAAAGTTCTCGCGGCAGCGATGCAAAATCGAGATTTGCCGTCTAGTCAGGTCGGCGTGGCGGCGAACTCTCGTCGAGTGCTCGCGACGCACAAAAGCGCGCAGATTGCGCGTTACATTTGCCCCGAGCGTCAAGAAGGACGTGGGTTGGCGGGAAAGGGGATGCAGAACTCGCGGGTAAACTCGGTTCGCAAAAACGCGGACTGGGAAACTTCGGCGTGGGTAAATCGCCCTGGCGCCCTTGGAGGCGAGCATTGGCTCCCCCGTTCCGACTTTTCTAATGTAATTTTTTATCGCGGGATAAACCGCGAATACCCTCGCATCCTGTCCCGTCATGCTGAGGAGAGGAAAAAACTACTTCGGACAACTACCCGCGAAAGTGGCTGCCCTTTGAACCGAATCGATTCCGGCCGGCAAACCGCGTTCGGAGGATGCGATTGAAGTTGCGAAGTACTTTAGAGAAGGCAAACCACTAAACGTTCTTCTGACTTCTCGCAAGTTTGCGGAAGTGTCTCCGAGTGTGTTGACGATGTTATTCACCGCCTTCGGCGTGTAACCAGCTATCGCGATTATGACGATGTCAGAGTCAGGAAGTGACCAGCGATCGATATGGTATCCAAAGCGGATGAAGATGGAAGAAAAATTGAGCTTTGAGAAGATAGATAGTTGTTATTATGATGTCGGATAAATATCATAAATGGCGAATGGCCAGTAGTTAACCTATATATGCAAAACGCATAAGATTAATATTCGTTTAGTTTGTTGCGTATTAAAGTTTGCAATCAGTCGATGCTGATTTAATATCTTTTTTATAGTTTTAGACTTAAGCTCTTGCGATTTCCAATTTTACCATTGTGGAATTTAATTTTTTCACGAAAATTTTAATGTTAAATAAAATAATTGAATTAAAAAATAATATGAAATAATATTAAAATAATATTAATTTCATTAATTTCTTCTTGCTTTTCTACTTTCAGAATACCACGTTGCTCTCCGTGTGGGAGGACAATAATGTAGTGACTGATATAATAATGGAAAAATCGCAGCCGATCGTCCATAGATATAGAGTCCCAGTTCCTGGTGGTTTTAATGCCCAGGTGAGACTCCTGATACCACCGGGTGCTGACTTGAGCGGTGCCACCAAGTATCCCATGCTGGTTTACGTGTAAGTTCTTTAGTTTCTTCAACGAACAAAATCTCTCTCTTACAATTAGATAAAGATATACCTGCGCATTCGTATTGCTCCCCTAGTCACATAATTCGAAATTGTGTGTTTTCGTTTTAGAACTCGATTACATTCGAGTTATAAAGAAATGTACAATTTATATTTTATTTTCTATGAATAAAAATTTTTCTATGGAGTGACAAGAATGACATGCAAAATATTTTACACAAAAAATATCTGTGAACCATATTCAAATCTTACGTAAATGTTAATTTACTTATTTTTTTTTTGCTTAATATTTTATGCATCTATTTTACATGCGGCACAGTGGGACACCCAGTGTTCTTTTTCCGCTTTTTCAGCCAAGTTTAAGAAAATCGATCTGATACGAAAATTCCTGACACAAAGGGTTAATCTCTGGAAGTCTGTAAGATGATAAACACAAATAAAAACAAGTTTTCTAAAAAATAGACGCAAGAGACATTTAGGTATAATTGATACATATTCGACTTCGCGAACATTATATAATTAAGATCATACTGGACACGTGACACATCGTGCTCAGCTATCAAAAGCACTTGCCAGCTATCATCCAAGTTCTTAAATTGCGTCGTTTTTCGGCGTCGCGTATATCTCGGCGTTCACTTAAAAGCATCCATATTTTCCGCGGCGCGACAAGAAATGTGACAACGCACTCCGCGGGCGTCATCAATCGGTTCCGTCATAATGCACTCGCGAGATAAGCGTAATGGAGGAGCGCGGTGACGAACGTGCGGCAGCGAAGCGTATAGTCTACACCGTGACGTGAAAACGAAGCTCTCCTTTACGTGGCCTGAATTAGGACAGGATGTAAAACCGTACCGAAGCGATGAGTCATTCCGTATTCAGTCTCACGAACGAAAACTTCAGCAGCCTCCACGATAAAAGCGGGGGAGCGTTATATCGATCGACCCCCGGCGCCCGTATTTCTTCTAACGACGAAGAAATAACACGATCGTCAAAAGAGAGCTCGGAAACTAAACGCGTGACATCCGCTTGCGTTTTCTAATTGAGTCTTTTTTTATATATTTTAAAATACAGGGTGTTTCCGAAGTAAGTATAAAAAAATTGAAGAGCATATTACGTGGCTTATTTTAGGAAGAAAAGGTCCTATAAACACATACCCAGCTGAACTGCTTTATTTTCAAATACGGGTTTACAAAGTTGTGAAAAAAAAAAATGGAATTTCGAAAATCTGAAAAACGTTAAGAGATATTTTATTCAAATTTGGTATGCGTGGTATTAAGAACCATTTTTTAGTATTAATAAAACATTTTTAGATCCAACGTGCGTCTTTAACACCCTCATGTATTTTGAAAACGAAGTAGTTTAAAGCATATATTTATAGGACTTTTTTTCCTAAAATAAGCCACGGAATATCCTCTTCAATTTCTTGTACTTACGTAGGGAACACCCTGTATAGTTTAAAATGCAGCTTTTAAAGTACAGTATCTTGCAAAAATATTTTTACGTTTCATCGACGTGAGTACATAGAAAATTGTATAGAGAAAATTATTCGTTTGCATTAATTACGCTTGTGCGAACGGTAATCTTGTTGCGTGAAGATAATTTCTTCTTTGAAGTTATTAGTCGTTGTCGTAATGGTCAGTCGGATGAGCTTTTCATGTTTTCCGCATTTAGAAGGTGCACGTGTACGCGACAATGACGTCGCCAGCGCGACGCTCGAGGCTGATATAACTTTCCGGCGTAAATCCTAATAACACCTAATTTGTAGGCGGCCCTGGCCGAGCTCGAACTTTTGAAAGTACAAAGAGCTTACGATGGAAGTTACCGCGATGTCCATCCCTAAAGTGCAGGCAAGCTTCACATTGCGCATTAACGGTCACGGGAAAGATAAAGAACTAACGCCATGCTATCGTTACGAACTCTACTCTTTTCTTAAAACCAGAAAATTTTAATTTTATAGGAATTCCGTAAAAATATATCCAGCATTGAGAAACTGCAAAAGAATCTATTTGATTGGATCCAAAAATGTTTCATCGATACTGGAAAATGGTTCTCAATACCACGCATACCAAATCTGATTTGAGAAGAATTCAATAATTTAGTTTAACAAAATTTATTAAGATTTGTTAGCATTATTAGATTTATCAAGATTGATTAAAATTTATTTAAATTTATCTAACAATGTTAAAATTAGTTTATCTATACCGTTTTATTTAATTATTTTATATCTATATGTGAAGAAAAAAACTCCAAAAAGGAATTTTCTTTTTTTCCTAAAATCTTCATATAAATGCATGGCAATTAATATAATTTATACATCAATTTTAATGCTGTGTCTCATTGTCCGTATTAGATGTAGATTTTGGCCGACTGTGAGAGATGCAAAATGACGATGAATGAATAAAGTTGAACTCATAGAAGAACTATCGCAATTGCTACGATAGACGCGTCTCGTTTGCTCGACGATGGCGAATAAAGAGAAGTTTGAGTTTCCACCGTTCGCTTTATAGTGAAGTAATTGTACTGTCCTCGTGTTTGAAACGGTATATTGGATCGCGCCGGAGTTTTCACATATCACGGGTATCCGGGCGATCGCTTGTTCTCTCTGGTTTTCAATGAAATTTCCTATAGGTTCAATCTAGATCATCGATCGCGCGACGCCCAGCGTCCGCGATACGAGACGTTTTCGTCGAAACCGACGACGACGGGCCGTCGACCTCTCCGTGAAATCAGTACTCTCGATGCTGTGTAAATGAGTATTCCTTCCTGTATTCCGCGGTCAATACGTATCGCTATAATGTTTCGAGACTTTCGAATATGCGACTTATATCAAACGGTATTAAAATGCTTTTTATTATTATTTTATTATTTTAATTAAAATAGTCATAACGTCATTAAAGTTTCTGCTGCTACACATCGTGTGCAATTTCTGTTACTATTTTGAGGCGCCTGAGAGTCTTATTAACTGCAAACTGCGAAGAAAATTAGAACGAAGAAAAGTTCCCTTTCTCCTTCTATTTCTTTTATTTCTTTTTTTCAAGTATAAAAAAATGAGAACCTCGTTAAAGTTTCAATGACCATTTCAATAATATTAGTACTCTATTTTCATGCGTTTATGCACTTATAACGAGGTTTCTCGCTCAATGTAAGCACGCGATATCAGTCTCTTCGTTACGATACAATAACATCGGCACGATGAAGAGCGCCGCTCGATATATACTTCGCGTTTCTAGCCGCTGTAACACAGTTCCAACTCGTAAATCCAAATCCCCCTTCCCCTCCATTCGCTTTATTATAAAGACATGAAATACTCTCGCGTGATTACGTCGCTTTCTGCGTCGGAAATAGTACGAGATTACACGTGACACGATTTACATGCGATTACACGAGGTTACTGCGGATCAGCATAATGTTAACCGTACAATGAATTTAAAGTGGTATGATAACAATTGATTAATTTCTAAGCGATATTTGAGTTAGTAATTCTTGACACAGCTAAGGTTCACTTTATTCGTCTCGTATGCGGATTAAGAAATTATAAAAAGGGTAAATGTTTGTATAAATTAACGTGCAGCTTTCCAAGAAGGATATTGCAATTTCTTTTTTTATTTAACTTCAAATGCCATTTGCTAAATTCTAAATCAAGTTTGAGAATCAATCTATTGAGAAATTTATTATATAGCTTAATATGTCGATTAGCGTTAATCACACTATATTATAAATATCTGCAGTAATTAATATTTTTGAAAAATTTTGGAAAATTATATTTTGTGAAATTATATTCATTTTGAGTCATTTTTAATCATTCCTATAGGTCGCTACTCAATATGTCGTTATATTAACTAAGCCAATGAAGTTAAAATAATATTGTTCTGTGTTAAAATAATATATTTCGACACATGGTAGTTAAAAATAACAAAATGTTATCTAACTCCAGGTATTGGTTTAAATTTCATCCTTTAATATTTAACATTGCAGTTAAGAAATGCATCGCACGTGTAAAGATAAAACGACATGCCAGAAACTGCAAATCGCATTAGCAATTAATTACACGTGTGATTTAATAAAGAAGAAATTATTTCAGATATTTTTTTCTTTCTTCAGCGTTCTTATTTTTTCATCTCGCGTTTATGGCTTTCCTATACGAGCTATAGTATCCGACGGAGCAGATCATCAGTTATCATTACGGTCTATTTCGCTTCGATTGCACTATGCGTGTTTCACGATACTATCGAGTGTCGTATCGCCGTCATTCTCGAGAACATTCGCGTTTATATCACGCCATCCACAGGATATCATTACTATCCGTCTTTATTTCCACGTCAGTGTCGGCGATGTCCCATCTTGAAAATGCGCCGTATCAGAAAAGCCATCTTCGTTCTCGAACTTCCATTTCCTAATTCTCGTCACCGTTTGGCTCCTCTCTTTGCGCGCGCGTCCCCTCGTCTTTGAGCCTCTCCCGCGGAAGTGGCAACAAGGTTTTCCGCAAACGACCGTCGAGAACCCGTAAATGAGCGTGGAAGTCGAGAAAATTGCTCGCTAAACAATCGGGAGAGTAGCCGGCTACACCTGCTAAATATAATAACGAGATTAGAGTTCTTTTTTTACGAAGAAGAAAAGGCTAATTTGGCCGAGCATATTGCAACGTCTAAATAGATTCAATTATCGGAACCATTATCGCGTTATATATTACGCGTCCCTTATTTTACCCTTATTTTAAATTATATTAACAATTTTTATAACTAATGCATAAATGTACATAATTTGTACTCTTTATTTATAAATTAACTTTTATTTTAACCCTTATGTCAATACTCGGGTACCCACTTGTGCATATATAGGTAAAATTTTTTATGTTGGCATGAAAATTTCTTTATAACCGCCCGGATCGTCGCTATTTGAACTTTTTACTATTGAAATATGCAATGAACTTTTTGTTTCAATACCCGGAAGTAAAAAAATTATCGTTTTGAAGTTTACCTACTTGATTCTAATACCCAGGGTACCCGGGTACCCACTTTTAAAAATATGAGTTTTATTGTAGTTATTGACTAAATTAATTTATGAATAATTAATATGGTTATAGGAATGGTAAATTAATAAAAAACAATTGTTTATATAATCAAAAATAAGAAAATTATTTATTTATAACTTTCTGTACACATTGTAATAGTGACAGCGTGTTCGTCGCAAACAGGCTTTTTGCATTCCACACAGGATTTTCTAGTTTTCCTCCGTTTTTTAATAATTTGTTTATAGCACAAGTGACACGAACCTGTGACGAGTTTTCTGCCTGTGTTATCTATAACATGTGTGGAACCAGAGGAAATTACGGGAGTCACCTGTCTTCCGAGAACGCTTTTAATCGCAAGCTTCGTTGAAAAGTTTCTCATAATTTGTAAATTTTGGAAACGATCTTCGATAACTGGTATAGTGAGTTCTTCGCTCAGTTGACGCAAAAATAAGCGACGTTGATTTGTCTTCTTTTTCAACATTTTATTATTTTCGTGATAAATAATATACGTAGCAAGGGCGGAAATATCCAAAATATTGAAAAAGAGGGCGAGTGGCCACCTGTTCGTACGACGGTGCGTTGTATATCTCCCTACCATTTGATCCATTGTATCGACACCAGCCTTGTACGTATTATAATATAATATTATCTCTGGTTTCCTTTTTGCATCATCTACCACTGCGATATCCGAATGCATTGTCGATAATACAATAACAGTTTTATTTTTCGACAATATGTGTGAGAGAGGCAATAGGAACCCAGCGCGGTACTCAGTGCGCAATAAATTTACCACGTGTACATATAAAACAATATATTTAGTCGTTAAAGACAAAAGAAACGAACGTTTCGGCCCTTTCTTTGGCCATCCTCAGCGTAAAACACTAATTCCGCGCAACGCAATTTCCTACATCTTACCTTGATTGCAACATTTAACGTAATCAGACGCACAATAACAAATTAACGTAGTCACGATGATCACATCGGTCGATTATGTAGCGCATTTGCGGTCACAAAACTCTCCAGGCATGGTACGCAGATGTATATTTTTCTGTATTTGCCCGATCTCCGGTGTGTCCGAACTCCGGCCGTACAACGCATCTCACCACTCGACTCCCCGGTTGGATAGCCAAGATCTTAAAACAGAACCGGCTAACATTTGACTGGTTTCACAAACCAACTTTTTCCGGGAGGTACTTAAACTTTATGTCTCAGCACCCTACTTATCAAAAAAGAGGGACAGTGATAGGCTTGATCGATAGAGTCTTTCGGTTATCTCACCCGTCCTTTCACGCCAAGAACTTCGGACTGGTCATTGAGATTTTACTCAACAATGGTTACTCTCTCGATTTTGTCTTTAGAGTCTTACATGAGCGACTTAAATTACTTGTGAACTATAGGAAAGACGGAGGGAACGACAACATGACCGAGAAGGAAATAACTCCATTTTTTACAATTCCATATGTTCCTAAGATCACGGAGCAATTCAGCAACATTGCTAAAAACCTTAATGGCAGGTTGTCGTACCAAAGTCTAAACAAAATGGGAACGTTTATCAAAGCGCATAAAGACGTCCTCCCCAAAACCAAGCATAGCAACATCGTTTACAAGATTAACTGCAATAACTGCGACGCCTCATATGTAGGCCAAACGGGGAGACAACTGAAAACGAGAATAAGGAAACACGAGAGTCATATTAGACGAAAGACTGCGGGCCATTCTGTCATTACTGATCATAGGAAAGCTTGTAATCATGATTTTAAATGGGATGACGTGCAAATTCTAGATAGTGAACAACATTATCATAAACGACTAATATCTGAGATGATACAGATTAATTAAGAGGCAAAAAAACGGCTTGAATTTGCAGACGGACACGGAATGCCTTCCTGACATTTACCTGAATATTATCGACAAGCTCCGAAAAATTTAATTTTTCCGCGGATAAATAAACACACAACACTGTTATTCTTGAACCGGTGTATAACGACGGCGTGTATCATTGTTTCGAGTCCTTTATCGATCTCCGAATTTGATAGTCACGGCAGTGTCTCACGTAACTTCTCTGAGACATGTAGAATAAAAGCGTCGTATACAGTTACATTTTACGATGGATTAGCGGCCTCGAGAGTGAATGCATTAAATTTCCGTGAGTTCTGCTCAATTGTCACTCATTTGTAAAAATTTTAATTTTTAGTTGTGCACTGACGTCGTGTGTCTGACACCGAAATTGCAGATACTAAGAAATTTCCATGCATGAAATCTCAGCCACTTCTTGGCTATCCAACCGGGGAGTCGAGCGGTGAGATGCGTTGTACGGCCGGAGTTCGGACACACCGGAGATCGGGCAAATACAGAGGAATATACATCTGCGTACCATGCCTGGAGAGTTTTGTGACTGCGAATGCGCTACATAATCAATCGATGTGATCATCGTGACTACGTTAATTTGTTATTGTGCGTCTGATTACGTTAAATGTTGCAATCAAGGTAGGATGTAGGAAATTGCGTTGCGCGGAATTGATATAGTTTTACGCTGAGGATGGCCAAAGAAAGGGCCGAAACGTTCGTTTCTTTTGTCTTTAACGACTAAATATATTGTTTTATATGTACACGTGGTAAATTTATTGCTGAGTACCGCGCTGGGCTCCTATTGCCTCTCTCACACATATTGTCGATTTATACAGAGAGCCTTTTTACTTTATAGTTTTATTTTTCTTTGGGACATACGAGCATAGAGTTACTTTATCACAAAAACCAAACAGCGTCGAATATTCTTCCCTTTTTTTCGATTGCCTTTGGAATATATGCTTTATTTTTTTATATGTACCAACGATAGTTAAATTCCATGACAATAAATGTTTGGCAAGGGGTAACGAAGTAAAGAAATTGTCCATATATATATATTTCTTCCACTTCCTTTATACGGAGCTGCAAGCTTCTTCACAATTCTTTCTCCTTGGTTTTTTTCTCGAATATTTCCAACTTTTCCGGTGTAAATTATTCCATTTAGCGGATAAGCATTTTCAGTGTCACAAATCCACCAGATTTTTATCCCATATTTTGCTGGCTTAGATGGAATGTACTGTGTGAATCTGGTACGTCCTTGGAAAGGATATAGTTGCTTATGGATGGTTAAATTTTCCGTTGGCCGGTAAGTTTTGGCTAAATTTGCATTGAGCATGGTTCAGATATCACGTATTGCAGCAGCTTTATCTTCACACGCACGTTCTTGGCGCGTGTTTGAATCATCGAATCGAATGAAACGCAAAATATTCCAGAAACGATTTACGCCCATTGTTGCTCGATACAGGGGATACGAAGACATTTTCCACATTTCAGTTGTATGATCCGTATTAGAATTATTTGCACCCATACAAATCAAGATTCCTAAGAATGCATACATTTCTTGGGTTGTCAAATTTTCCCATACAAGCGGTTGTCGTTCTGAATATGTGTTGTTATATTCTTTATAAACTTGTGATGCCTTTTTGTTGGTATACCGAACTATAATGTCTATCATTTCATTTGTTATGATTTTCTTGAAAGTTGCGCAGATTGATAGAGTTTTTGTACTTTTATGTGGACCAGCTCTTTGACGTACAATATTATGAATTGCCGTTTGATATTGAGGTAACGGTGTTTTAGCCCACACCGTTCTATCTTTTACTACAAAAGTATTCTCGGTTTCCTCTAAAATTATGTACTATTATAAAAAACTTATATTTTTAGGTATATAATAAAAAATAAAATATACAAATAAAAATGCCTTTAATAGCCGCATTTACTCCTTCATCTTGTTCTTGGCTCTCGTCTTCACTTTCATCACTCTCGGATTGAATCTGTGTGTATCCTTCTGATTTTTTATCGATCCTTATGCTGTTTTATACATAAATACGTAATTATTGTGTTATTGTGATCACTTCATAAATATAAAAATTAAATTAAAACTTACCAGTTTCGACATATCCTTCAAAATGGGAATCATCTATAGATTGGGATTGATTTTGCGAAGGAAACCAATCCTCGTCGTCGCTATTTGAAGGCTGGGAACTCTCTACATCCGATTCATCTAATAAATTTCTCAAATACCGATCTCTTTGTTCTTCACGCAGTCGAAAGCGTTTTCTTTTCATTACTCTCACACAGTTAATTTTTCACAGTTTTTAATAACTAACGACTAACGATACGTGTTTCGAAACTCCATTTGTTCGGTAGTCTTTTGTCAGCTCGCGCGGAAAGTGGACATAAATAAAAATATACACACACAAATACATACACGAGCATATACATAGAAAAATATATACAACCTACGAGTAAATATACTTGCTCTAAGTATTTAGTAAGTTTATATATCTGCAAATCTATTATAAAGTCATCATAAGCATTACATTTACTTAAAACATATTTTGGACTTGTAACAAGTATATCTTACATTATTATTAAGAAAATATTTTTAGCTAAAGAAAATTATTAAACAAAATAAAATAAAATAAATAATTGCTTTTCTCGTCTGTAGAACAAATATCTTTCTGTGTGTAATACGAAAGAAACGATTTATTAAAGAGATTCGATAAGTGGGTACCAGGGTACCCCGGGTATTGAACAACGTCGCACATTCCGGGTATTGACATAAGGGTTAATTTATAAGCTGCTCTCTATTTATAAATTTATAAATAAAATATCTAGTTTCTTTCTTCCTCATCACACAATTTTCAAAAAATTAAAAGCCAATGTGAGACTCAAAAATAATAAAAATCAAGATATAGCTATATTTTTCTATCTTAATTTGTGCAATTATAAAAGAATCAAGTTTGCAACGCGTAAAATGAACAGATACGTGTATACGTAAAATTGTGAAGAGGCGCGAGCGTTGAGAGATACCGATAATGTGGTGACGACCTGTGTGTCACGTAATCTGTCTGCCTTTCAGGTATGGCGGCCCGGATTCGTTTCAAGTGACGGAGAAATTTAACATTGATTGGGGCACGTATCTCGTGACAAACAAAAGTATCATATACGCCGCCATCGACGGTCGCGGCTCCGGATTAATGGGTAACGACATGCTGTTCACCGGATACCGGCGCCTCGGCACCGTCGAAATTGTCGATCAGATTAACGTTACCAGGTAAGTTTAACTGTCGTAAAATAATTTCGATTGTCAACTTACGATTTCCAATAAATCACTCAATACTGATTAGAAATTAAATTAATAAAAGTTGCTACCGAATCAATAATGCAGCGAATAATAACTTTCTAATTTTATATTGGAAGTTTCAAAGCAAAATTTACTTTTAACACAAAATATTGCATTCTACGAAACTAAGTTTATTTTATTTGGGCCCCTCTCACCAAGACCAATTTTCCTCTAAACCCTGTCTAACGCGACCCCGCGTCCATTATTTTTCCTGAAAAAGGATCTAACTTACAGCAAGCGCGGTCATATTCTTGCCGTTAGAGCGAGGCGCATATTACGTTTACCACGGGCGCTTTCGCCACGTTTACACGTAGAAGACGCATTATATCGTTAACCCGAGATTGCTTTCGACGCCCAGCCGCGCCAGGATAGCTCTCGACGGTGATGCTAACGAACGATCGCGGGCGGAATCTGAAGCCGAACGTGCGTCTGGCGCAATCGTCTCCTCTGAAAGGGTGGCGGACAAAGTTTTGCTTTAGGACAAACCTAATTATAGGCGAGGCTTCAAAGTGACTTATCACCGCGCGATCGGAGTAATTCGCTAAACCCCAAGTTAACTAATCTAACTCTAGGCTCCCTCGACGCGTCCGAGGACCACGTTTAACGAAGTTCTTTTTCACGGCGCGGGCACCTGAGAGAGGGAGAGAACATCACTGCCGCGTTAACAAGAAGAAAATTGCTCGTACTTTTATCTGAATTTATCGGGTAACCCTCTCCACGCTCGCCGCGCCGTCGAGTGGCGGGTAGGTACCACGAAGAAGAGCCAGGCTCTCCTCTCGTATTTCCACTTAACTGCCACGAGTAATTTATCTCGTGAGAGAATGTGTGAGAGAAAGAGAGAAAGAGGGAGAGCGGGACTAGTGGCAGTGGTGAGAGAGCTCGCCCACTTATACGACCGTCCATCTTTAAACCGAAACATCAAACTTCCGGTCGTGATGAATAATGCCTATTCCGTGCCGGTGGTGAGGTCATATTTTACCGTTTAAGCGACAACGCGCCGCCGCGCGACCGCGAACCCGCAAGCCTGACGGCGCGCGTAGATCGGCGGTTCCGCAAATCTCCGCGCGCGGAATTTCCGGATGGAATTTAGTAAATAGCAGCAAGAAATTAGCGCACGGCATGGTGTATAAAATAAATGTTGAATCACGAAGTATACCGCGTCGTGGACGAGAAACGCGGTAAACTCTTAGCAGCGGCGGTTCTTTCTTCGTTTCACGAAGATTTTATCTCCGTCATTTCCAGACTTCTGCCCCAATTTTTCCCTTTGACGACCAGATTTCTCTGCGAATAATAATAGCAGAATAACAACGGCAGAAATATTACTATAAAATTGCTTTTTCATTGTGCGCGGTTCCAAACGTTTTAATAACTTCATTATTTCTTGCTCGAACTATTTTCCTTTAACGTTGCTGTGGTGTTCCGTAAAGGAAGGCAAATAGTTTGCATTTGCTTATATTAAAACGGAAAATTGCTTACAGATAGAAAAAAAATTTAGTTGTACGCAGCTAATCTAATTTGTTGTAAACAATTAGTGATCTTTTTTCTTGTAAAAAGAGTCGTGGAACTTATCAGAGTATCGGTCCATCGACCGAAGTACATAAATAGAGAAAAGCATGAGGAACATCTGGGCACTTCGCGTGCATGTATATATGTACATATATTTTTTAAGTTCAATACTTAAATATTGAATAAACCAAATAGCGTCATCGATAGTTTATACAATGTCTTTATTACGATAATAGGCGTTTATTTGAAAAATATCATCCCGTATATGAAGCGAAAATTTACTTCGCCAGATACCATCGACATTTTAGGTACACTGTCACCTTTATCGAAAAGGAATAATTCTAACCTCAGATATATTTATCGATATCTCAATTTTGAGCGTCGTGGAAATTTAGCAAATAATAGAATCATAAGAGGGTAGTAGAATCTTAAGGGGGTAGACAAGCGAAAAAATAGATCTTTTTAAAGTAAAATATTTAAGAAATAAAAAACTCTGAGTATTTGAAACTTTGGCACATAATTCTATATTCTTTTATAGTGATTTAAAAAAAAAAAGAATCATTAAAAAATATTAGTAATAACGGAAGTTACTGGTAATGAAGGGAAACAGTTTCTTTCCTTTCAATAGGTGGTGGTGGACATGATTCAGGAGTAACGAAAAAGAGTGATGCCAAAAATCGCCTGTTTCGCTACCCTTGAAATCCGACTTGAATTTGGTGCTAAACGATAGTTATATATAAAACATTGATCCTCTGAAAGTTTCAGATTGAGCCCACTCAATCTTCAAGATATGAGGGGTCAAAGTTTGCATTGTGCATGAACGTTCTTATCAACTGTTCTGACCCATTTCAGATGATGCTTGATTAGCGTGAGTCCCCGTGCCTCTCACGATTTGGGGTGCACAATGCGAACTTTGACCCATCATATTGTGGAGATAAAGAGTGGGCTCAATCTGAAACTTTCAAAGGATTAATGTATTATATATAACTATCGTTTAGCACAAAATTCAAGTCGGATTTTAAGGGTAGCGAAACAGGCGATTTTTGGCCTGTTTTTGGCGTCATTCTTTAAAACATAATAAAAAACGGATTCATATACCTAGAAAAGTGCCTCTAAAATATATTAAAAACAAAATTTGAAAAAAAATGTCTGTAATTTTATTAAAGAAATAGTTATTTGTGTAACAAGTGAGGTAAGATGAAAATTCCCGGGTGCGGTTACCGCACTCGCCTTCGGCTCGTGCGTAAACTCCACACCCGGGAATTTTCATCTTTACACACGGCTTACACTCCCTATTTTATGTTGCAAGTGCCTGGAAAGTGGTCTATCACGCACGCGTAGCGTGCGTAATGGGGCACTTTCCATGCACGTGTTGCATAAATGTAATTTTGCACTTTTTTGCTAATATATTTTTTCTTTTTTTAAGAATTTTATTCGAAAATCTGTTTCCGATACATTTTAGATATTTTTAACATGTAAAAAATTTTTGAAAGAAATCGTAGGAGCCGTTTTCAAAATTTCATGTCCACCACCAGCTACTAAACTACTTCCCTTCATTACCAATAACTCTTGTTATTAATATTAACATTTTTAACGATTCTTTTTTTAAAGCAAATATAAAAGAATATAGAATCATGTGCCAAAGTTGTCATGTTTCAAACATTCAGAGTTTTTTATTTCTTAAATATTTAGTATAAAGAAATAAATTTTTTTGCTTGTCAAGGTTGTCTACCCCTTTAAGCGCAAGCCTCAGGATCTTTTGTGTTAATTATAGAGTAATCCAATGGCCTTAGAATAACGTTCTTTGAAAAACGTTCAGTCGCTGATGTCAAATGGCATTCGCGAAGACGTACGCTATCCGCACGTTTCCCGGTGTTCTACGCCAGCTCTACGGCTGTTTTGCCAATGCATCGTCCGGCACGTAAAAAGCGAGTCGCGGAGTTGGAAACGGGCCAAACGATTACGGAATCGTTCGACTCTCTTCAACTCGAAGCTCTTCCCGGCCGCCCGGCCTCTCACTATCCGCGCCGTTCTCCCTCTGTGTCGTCAACCCTTCGCAAACTCCTTCGCGTTTTGTCTCGTTTTTGCCGGCCTTTGTTCCGTCATCGAACCGGCAAACCAGACCGATTAACCAGCTTGTCGCTGGTTATTCCACCCGTTGGTTCCACGACCACTTAATTGCTGAATAACGAGTGACGTAAGCGGCGTTGAAGCCCGGAAATCTTGGGGACGGCGACGCACCCCTCATAAGCGTAATGATCCTTTAAATGGGGGAGAGTGACTAACAATCGTTTATCCTAAGGGGGGGAAATCATAGCTCCGTGCAAGCATCCGTGGTTGATTTGAAGATTGAGTGTCGCAGGATTAGATAATTAAATACGTATAAATAATGACCCAGGCAGCACCATGTCCAAAATCCGGGATATAAAGCGTCTTAAAGATGTCTTTAAGACGTCTTATGTCCCCGATTTTGGACATGCGTGCTGCCTGAGGAGTGGCAATCGTGTGAATGTAGACAAGAGAAATGCGAAAGATATATAAGAAAAAATTACTCATAATATGTAGCATTATACGTGATACTAATAAACAGTACGCATACCTCAGTTAGTTTAAAAGAGGAAAAGGTTTCTAAAAGTATTTGAAAGATTTAATTTATTATAATATTTCTTCCTATGTTCACAAAAGGAAAATCTATTATGTTACGTCATGCCAGAAATAATTAGATGTAACGTTCTTTAAAATACGTGACACGAAAGTTGTACAATTTTTCGATCGATTTGACGATTCTTCTTGCCATAACAAAAAAAGAAAAGTTAATTCATGGCAGATTGTCGCTCAAGATACATCATCAATCCAAATTAATTAACATTAATTGCAATTTAAATCTTCCTATTCTTTAGCGTTAATTTATTTTTGTCGCGCTAATTTATACCGATTCCGTTTTTAATTCCGTCGAGATCTTCCAATAATTTAAATATCCGACGTACACGCGATCGTAATTAAAACGTCAGGAAAATCCTAGCTGCCTTGAAATTCGCGCAGCGTATCGGACCGCGGGCGTTCTCGATAGGCAACAAATAAGTGCGAGAGACAAAGGGGAATACCGATAGAATTTCGACCGAGACCGAAATACGTATCCTAGAGAGTATACACATAACGGGCGAGCCGCAAAACGAAAGGGAGAAGCGTCTCGGTCCGAGTTTCTTCTCTTTCCTCTCCGTCTAGTTTCTTTTTTTTCCTCGGTTTTTTTTCTCTCATGGAAAGAAATAGAATTCAACGTACCGCCGCCGGTCGATTTACGAGGTAAATAAATTTCACCGAGGGAGCGAACGGGGGAGAAGAAGAAATAAAATCTGCCGCGCGTCGCCGTACGAGGAGCCGTTTACTATTTCTACGGGCGCGACGGCCCGGCCGGTCGACCGGCCGTGCCGGTGCGGTGTGGGCGCTGATCCCGCCGGGACCATTATATTATCGAACACACGAGAGATGCCAGAGACAATAGCCCGAAAAGATTGGAAGGAAAGAAATACGAATTTCACCCCTCTTTTTCTTCCGGGGTGGCGTGGCGGCGGGAGAGCAACGCACGCGGACGCTTCGCGCGTGGAATCCACTCTCGAGTTTCCGGAAATCATGAGGCGAGACGCCGCGCTCAATCTGGGAGACGTCTGAAAGATACACGGGTCGTCCCAGAGGTAACATTCGCGTTCTTTGTCCGTGGATTCCTCGTCCAAATTGCAGTTGATCTTTCTCTAAGGATACCGTGATGAAATACCACTTTTCAAACTCCCTTATTTAATTCACAATATACAGTAGCGGCGGAAAGTATTTTGACAAGCACAATTTATAGAAAATAAATGTTTATTTCTGAAACAAAGTTATAATATGTGTCCAAAGGCAACAATGCCTCTTAGTAGAAATGAAAAAAAAAATATAACATTTATAAACGAAAACTACGTTTTTTTTTTTACATTTTTTAAACAAATGTGGAAAGAAAGTATTTTGACAACACCATTATCTGTTGAAATTTTTAAACAAAGCCTGTAATTAACCATCAAAAATTAATTTGACTGCATCAGAAGCTTTAATATTTAGTGGCAAAGCCCTTAGATTTAATCACAGCCGCACATCTTGCCGGCATAGAGTCAATAAGTTTGGTGATCACACTTAATGGTATTTCCTTCCATTCTTCTGCAAGACAGGCCATCAAATCTTGTTTTCTGGAGAATTTTCTTTTTCTAATCCGTCTATCTAACTCTTCCCATAAATGTTCTATTGGATTTAGATCGGGACTTTGACTTGGCCACTCTAGAACTTTAATTTTCTTAGATGTAAAGAACTCTTTTACATGTGCAGAGGTATGTTTTGGATCGTTATCCTGCTGAAAAATCCAGTTTCTGACAAGGTTGTGCTTAGCATAAGGGAGCATGTAATTCTGCAGTATTTCACAGTAACAAAATCGGTCCATGATGCTCTTCACTTCGACTAACGGACCGACTCCTGAATAAGAGAAGCAGCCCCAAACCATGACATGGCCACCACCGTGCTTAACAGTCGGTACCTGATACTTGGGGTCATCTCTTTTGTTTGGAGGTCGTCTAACATACCTTATGCCATCAGATGAAAACATATTGAACTTACTTTCGTCGCTCCACAGTACACGAGCCCACTCATTACTAGTCCAGTTTTTGTGTTTTTGGGCAAATTTGAGACGCGCCTTTCTGTTCTTTGCGGATATAAATGGCTTTTTGGAAGGACGTCTGCCAAACAAATTTGCGTTGCGAAGGTATTGTTTTACAGTGGTTAAACTGATGTCAAGACTGTGATTCTCATTTAAATCTCTCTTAATGTCAACTGCTGTCAGACGTGGGTTAGCGACACTCATGCGGCGGATAATTCTAGATACCCTGTCAGTAAGTTTTGGCGGTCGACCCGATCTTTGTTTGTTGCTAACCGAGCCTGTGGACTGCTGTTTACGGTTCCAAACCGAAATTATTTGTCTGCTCAGATTAAAATGCCTCGCTACTTGAGCTTGAGATTGTCCATTTTTCAATGCTGCAATAACAGCTAATTTTATGTCGTTGGAGTATTCCTTTTGTTTTGGCATAGCTCCTGAACGTAAACAAAACATAAAATAAGCAAAAACCGTGAATAAAATAACTTACGTGAGCCCCTGCGTGTCGCTCTTAAACGAAACCCACTGTGTCAAAATACTTTTCGACTTACAGATTAAAGATAATAGCGGCACCTCGGAAACGAAACATCGACCCGATCAAAACTGATGTTGTCGCCGCTGCAGACTGCGGAAAAGTGTTTACTAACAACAATTTCTACCATGATCTTTCTCTAAGGATACCGTGATGAAATACCACTTTTTCAAACTCCCTTATTTAATTCACAATATATACCGAATTCGTTGGTAATTAGAGAGATAATTAAAGTACAGCTGAAGCATTGTCCATTTTGAATTGAGGGAGTATTCTGGTTTGAAACGTCGTAAAAAAAGGTATTTTTCAAGAATTTTTTATAGGGAAACGAAAAAAAGCGAATAAAATTAAACTTTGCATGTTTTTTTCATTTTTTTAATTAACAAAAATGCTCTTTTTTATATGTTATATCCTGCTCATTAAGAGGTGTAAGTGATTTTAGCTGTTCTTAGGTATCTGAAACGTAAAAAACCAAAAATTTTCTTATTTAGGAGAAGTGTGATGGCTCTATTATCTAAACCAGAATAAGCATTACTTTCTCTGTGAAAGAGCCTGTAAAAATAATTTAATGAGGCTATGAGAAAGTTAGATTCTCTGAAAAATTTTGATAATTATAATGCACTAAACTGCATTACTGTAGAAATTTGCAATTGCGTGACACACGATTCATTCGAAGGCGATCCATGTGCTATGTGTTCTGTAATATCAGGCACATTGGTAGCACGTATATAATCGCGCAGAGTGCACGCGAGATAATGACAGATACGGTGAGAGAAGGAAGTAGAAAAATTACAAATTATTCATCGATTCTTATCGGAAAGTGGTCGACTATCTCGTTTGCGCGTTTCAGCGAGAGGGGCGATTATCTCTTTACGAGCGCTGCGGCATTCTCTAGTAAAAGAGGTAATCTTGTGAGGCGCGTTCTCGCACACGATCCTCTTAGACAAAAGAATTCGTCATAAACATATTTCTTTTGATATTGTTTCCTAAATTTGTAAGTTGAAAGATCCTCGTTTTTGCAAAGATATTCTTTTCTCGCTGTAACGTCACGTCTCGGTGATGTACAATAACTTGTGTTTTACGAAATTAATCAGGTGCTTCGAAAATAACGAAGAGTCGTTCAGAAGCTATTGTTTTAGAAACTAAAATAATAATTAATGAAAATGTTAATAAAAAAATATCTATCCTCCTGATGTATAAATTATAAAAATATGCTGAATGTTTGCTCTCTTACTCTTTTTTTTCTTATACCATGCAGATACTTTTATAAAATTTTAAAAATGTTTAATCAATTTCGTGAGTAAAATTGTGTAGATAATATATTTTTGCTATATGTGCTTCAACATATCGTATTTTTAGTGATATTGATTCACCTTTTCTCTGCTTCTTACAGGCATCTGCAGGACAAATTGCCCTTCATTGACCGTACCAGAACGGCGATATGGGGCTGGAGTTATGGTGGATACGCGACCGGCATGACGCTCGCCATGGACTTAAAGGGTGTCTTCAAGTGCGGCATGTCTGTCGCGCCAGTTACGGATTGGGCCCTTTACGGTACGTTATTAATAGGTGATCGAATTAACGACGCAACACGTAAAGTGTGTTTAGTCTACAGTCTACAGTTATCTCAAAAGGAAGAAAAATTATTTAACAACGTAAACCGGAATTATCTTACAATTGGATGAGGCAATTTTTTGTAATTCGTTGAATTACACACCGCGCTATTATAACGTCAGCAAAGTCAGGTTGGCTCTTCAATGGTAGTAAGAAAAGTAAAAAAAATTCTGAAAAACCAATAAACCGAAAGATATGCCGTGCCTAATTAGCAGCAATAATTAGCGCAAGAAGCGGAAAGTATTTTCTGTCTCAAGCATTTTAACATTAAGGCTAAAAAAGAGAGAATTTGTCTCTTTTGGAAGTCGAAACTTAGGGCTTTTTGCTGATCTGATTGTAATAATTATAATGTAATAAGTTATAGAAATAAAGTAACTGTCATATAAATCATTGTAAACTATAACAAATAATTAAAAATTATAGCAGGTAACGCTAATTATATTTAAATCAATAATATCTTTTATTCCTATGCTAGGAATATTGATCTTCAGTGAACAATTTATTTTATATGTCCCGCGCGTTGCAAATCATACTTTAAATATGTAATAAGAGATAGAGAGAAAATATAATTAATGGAAATTGATGTTTTTTATCCTTATTTTTCGATTGCTGCGACATTATTAGTAGTATCACGCGTGAAGCATTATTTTTCTAGCTCGATCTTCTTCGCTATAAACGAAACGTTGTTAAGAGAGCTTACTTGCGGAGAACGCGGCTTACTTAAAATGACTTATGTTAAGCTCATTTGGCCCCGGGATTTGTCTAAGAATTTTTTACGCACCGGTGTTTTAATGAAGAAAAGTGAGCGCTCTCCGTGGGAAAAGGACGCGCTACTGCAGCTTTAATATTACTTTCTCAACTGCTTTAAATTCGTGTCAGCATTTACCTCTCCTTTTGTTAGAGCACGCGAGAAAAATACACGTGATTTACAGGATGGCGTTAAAAAGACTTATGCAACGTCACACTTGTGCAATTTCCGCATAATATATTACGCGGAACACATATAACGTAGACCGTAAACCTTTATTCGTCCTTTTTTTCCACTCACGCGTTATCCTTATTAATGCAATCGTGTTAATTGCAATTACAGATTCGATTTATACCGAACGGTTCATGGGTTTACCAACCGTTTCTGATAATCTGCAAGGCTACGAGCAAGGCCAGCTGCTCAATAAGGTCGAGAACATCAAGAATAAGATGTACTACTTGATTCACGGTACTCTCGACGACAACGTGCACTATCAACAATCGCTTATGCTCGCGAAGGTGTTGGAGCAGAAGGACATCCTCTTCAGACAACAGGTAATGTTCACGTTCTCGACACAGGCAAGTTGAATTAATACCTATATAAGTGTATCGCCAAGTAACTTTGCATTTCTTTCGTTTTTTGCAGACGTACACGGACGAGGACCACGGTATCGTTCAGTCGCGGGCGCATTTGTATCACTCGCTGGAGAACTTCCTGGACGAATGCTTTCAGACGTCATCATGATCGGAGCACGGGATAGTGATGACAATCTAGACGCTGTACACCACCTGCCTCACACTTGTAAATACTTTGTCACGTGTACAGAGTTTATGTACAATATGTAATATGAGCGTTTAAAGAATGTACATAGCGGTGTGAGATTGCCGAAGAAGAATGGAAGAGACGGAGAGAAAGAGAGAGAGAGAGCGCGAAAGCGAGCGTAAGCATAAAATGCGAGAAGAGATAGAATAATTAATTAGGCACCAGTGTCGTCGCGAAATTACGCAAGGCAGGTCTGTAAAAAAAAATACATGTTTGATACGTTTTTTAAAGTAGCCGATCAAACGGTGTGTCGAAGGCCTAATAACGGCGCCGAGCCTCGTCGCCTCGCCGTTCAGACCTCACTAGAGTGTTATTCCGTATCGTTGCAGCTCGTACTTACATTTTTAACCCACACGCGCATTGTTCAAACGTTATATTAGCACGCAACACACAGTTATTTCTCGGATGGTCGAATGAACCAATCGACTTGACGTCAAGTTTGAGTAGCGAAAATATATATAAGACGCGATCTTTCGTGATTTAATGACGATTTTCATTTAAAGAGTCTGCGATTATTTAACGAAATTGTATTATTAATTACCGCGATTATGATATAAGTTGCCACTTATATCATCGATATTAATAATAGAACGATAATATAATTAATCGGTCTATTAATTAATTCATCAATTAATTAATAGAAGTTACTCATTGTCAGTAATCTACGCGTCCCATTTTTTTCTTGGGATTTACTGAAATGACAAAAATTACATTTTTTGTCTCAAACTGAATTAATTACGAAAATATGTACCATCAATAATTTGACCATTTGAAATAATACGTTCCGTATTTATATACATTGATTCAATATATATAAGTTAGATTATTTTCCTATTACGGCAATCGCATTTTCTTTTTGATGAGATATTAAGTTGACATATCAAAATGTTTATATATATGAGTTCAGTTATCATCTCGATAAATAAGATCTCTTAAAGTTTTAAATAAAATGTAAATTAAAATGCCGTCGCATACACATACATACATACGATGTCTACTTTCAAAATAAATTAGAGAAAAATATGCTTTAAAACTAATAATTTTTTGTGTAATTTAAAAGTTGCGTAATAAAAAGATATCTTTAATTAAAATTGCAATTCGGATTTTTAAATTTTAACATTTCAACATTTAAAAAATAAAATACAAATAATGTAAAATGTAAAATAATATTATTCTATGAAATGGCAGGATTCTCTTAAATTTATTTAAAGTTAATGATATATAAACTTTTATTCCCAAATAACGTTTATCACATAAAATATATATACATTTTTTATTATGTCCTTCTAATAACAATAAAATTAAAAAGCAAAAGTACATGTTGTGTACTGCATTTTTCGACAATAATATTATCGACGATATTCTGAGATATAACCATTATTACGGCCTATTCAACGCGGTTACATTTCTATTTGAACACTACATCTGCCAAATGATTACAATAGATTACATTAAAAATTCTGGTAATAAATTTATAGTTAACACGTAAAATGCGCCAAATAATTCTGATTTTAATGTAAAAATAAATTTCCTGAACTCATATATGTTATCTTAAGGCTCTGGAATACTCAGCAAAAATATAAAACTCTTATGTATGAAGAAGCAAATTAGCATTGATTACTCCGATACCGTGATATTATAACAATCGCTAGTGCTGCATACTTAATATATCGTACTAATTAAACGGATCTCCAATAACTTTACAACATTCGCCGACGATGTAATCAATTAATGTATGAAAATCAAAATTTTGCGTGCACAAAAATGTGGAATTAAGCCGATCAATTTTTGAGATATTTAGGAATGTTCTTGAAGCGTAATATATTTTCACAATAATACACTGTTTTGATCAACTATTGTGAATTTTGACGTTCGTAATATGAAAGTGCGACAACTAAGACGTTATATATGATGACCGCGCGACGAAAAATTATATAGGAAGTGGTAACCAAATTATACTTTCAGGATCGACGATAATATATGTGAAAGCAATGTTTTGTAATGATCTATAGGTAGGTAACATATTATTTTTTTGTACCTCTACAAACTGTTGCACGTTTCGAGAGAGGCATTTCACTATGAAAATATGTACAAAAAAATTTCCATAAAAAGAATGTATAATAAAAGCGTATGATAATATGCACAAGTTACTAAAACATATGTTTTTTATAAAACATATATATACTTTATGCTATGGGATATATAATATTTGGGAGTATAAGCATCGCATTTGATAACTGCATTGTTATAAAAATATTGATCCTAAGATTATTTTAATATGTAAAATCTTCCAAACGAGAAGTGTATTAATAATAAGATTTTGTTATTCGACACCTTTGAAATAGATTCCACCGTGACAACAAAAATAGTATTATTGGTATTTGTAGATTACGGATACTACAAACAGAGTGCTGCTAATATCTTGCTAGTGAAATTACATGCAATATTAAAATATTTTATAAATTCTTTTTTTGTACACATACACACAATAATTTTTTAACTAATCTTCTACTGTTAAATATTTCAACTTTTTCTAAAAACTTTATAATAACATTCTTTAAATTCAAGATTAAATCAATTTAAAGTTTCTTCAAAGATAGAGATTTTAGAAAACACTTTTCACTTTATCATATTTTGATTGTTTGAAAGAATAATTCATGGCTTCATAATATCGATTGCCTCTTTCACTTGCAAATTTTATTTCTCTATTCTATACTATTCTTATACTGTGGGTATACCAGAGTGTTAAGAAAGTGCAATTACATGACTTTATATCACATTCGTATACCTATAGTTTACGTAATGAATACATATAAAATTCAACAATTTGTTTATCAAGACACTTTCCCTTAACGTAAGATAGCATATCTACTTCTTATTATTGTTAGACCACGGGCAAATATTAGTGCCAATGTGTAAATGCATACCTAGGATAAGTATAAGGGGGACTATCGACAAACTCTCTATTAAAGTTTTTTAATGCAAGGACCACTGTAACAATTTTGAGTGGATCAAGAATTTATTAAAATAATTGTTAACTTTTATTTCGAACACGCGCGCATTGTATATACAAACTTACTTGAACACTTAATTAAGGTAACAGCATTATTAGAAAGGAAATATTGTGACCCAGTAGAGTTATGGAATTATGACAAGTGTACTCTCTTTCACCACTATTTGTTGAGTGTATTATGAATAAAGCTCTATGTTTTATTAAAGCGGAGTATTTATATCTTGAGATATAAATCTCAAAAACCATCCCGCTATATACATTTATATGTATGGATAGTAATATTTATTAACAGAACTCTATAAATAACGGATTAATATTGCACGTTTTAATAAAAATATATGTAGAAAACAAAATACATATAAAATACAATACGATGTATTAGAATTTTTAATTTCTTCGATTGCTTTATACAGTATAAAAATATATATAATGTATGTTTTCTATACAAAATAGAAAAAACAGAGGAATCATATTGTTCCATATTTCTTATAAAATACAATATATAACATGAAATTTTAAATTAAGAATTCTCTGTTTCCTTGAATCTGCAAATAAGATGTTTTATTTATTAATAAAGTATTACAAGCAATAGAAACTTAATGTGAAGATAATATCTGAATGCTAGGTCAACACAATATTGCTATGTACAGATACATACTTGCATTTGGTACATGTGTAAAACACAGTTTGTCCCTCATCAGCAGATCTCAATTGCAATGTTGCATAAGACATTTTATCATTTTGACATTGAGGACATTGTCGCTCTACTACTGGTCCATCCGCATCATCGTCACTGTCCTCAACTTCTTTAGCGGATGCATAAGTATGTTTAGTGTTGAAAAGGATTGTATGTATCATTTTCATGTCACCAAAAACTGGAAAATAATATTAGAAATTGAGTCTCCAAATTAATGTAAATTCTTAATCACTGCTCAAGCTTGCACATTAAGGATTACTTTGAGCGCAATTTTTTATATTACAGTAAATAATAATATATTAAATTATTGTACAATATACAATATATATAAAGGTAAGGACAATCAACTAGAAGGTAAGAGAAAAGCTTAAGTATAATGTGTAAAGTATATAAACTTTTTTTGTATTTGCCATGGTTTAGTAAATACAGTGCTTCATACGTAGGATAAGTTTTATAGCTACTAAAGAAGCATACAAAACATTTATCTGCATTCCTTGTCATTGTAGAGTTATACTATCAATCTTTTTCTGAACTGACGATTCCGAGTCTCGACATCAAACTCGCGAAACTCATGTTCGACCGTTAGACGCCGTGCCGTCGTAAGCGGTGAGATCCCGACGACGGACAGAGGTGCCGTACGGCAAACCGGGCTCGTGCGACGACCGGCCCGCGAGGACCAGCCGCCTAGGTGTGTCACATTGTTTTGAGCCTTTCGACCGACGAGACTCCTAGAGATATCATCACTATCTCCTGTACATTCATTTAAACTAGTTTATGCTAAGTGTATAATATTGCAATCCAATTGTATATGCCTCGACCTTACTCTGTTCATACCTGCTGTTGTCATGCCAGCATGTCTCATTTAAAAGATGACAGTGTTTACCACAAAAAGCAGTACTAAAAAAAAAAGAGTAGTCAAGTGGATAACCAAGTGCTCCTATATAGAAAATTACATTGTGATTACAGAAAGAAAATATGTTTAGCAACGAGAAATATCGCAATATGCATTATCTTTATGGACTTTCTGATGGAAATGCTGCTGCAGCTGAGAGGAAACATCAGATGCGGTGTGACAGCAGAGATATGGATAGAGTACAATAAACCATACCGAATACAAGACAAGCTTGTATATATTACGTATTCTACTCAAGCTCCTCTTTCACTTCCTAGTTGATTAACCTTACCTTTTTATATATAACCTTTTAACTAAAAGATTTTTGTTTGAATCACACCTTCGGAATCCCATTCTCTTTTGCACGTGTAACATGTAACTCCTCCTCTTTCGTCAAGCAAAGGTAAAACTGAACCGCAATCCGGACAGAAGCCAGGTGCAGTGATAAAACAACTACTGTTGTTATTTGCCATCATTTAACATGAATATAATCAGCGATCGAATCGAATTTAGCCTTCTTAATTGAAATTTGAAAACTGAAATCGTAGATATCATGATACATCTAACCTTAGAACGGCCCTCTTGTGTTCTTTCTGAGGGCGTAAGCGTAAGCTGCGCAAGAACGCATTTTTCAATGCGCCACCTGAGAAAGTGCAACTCAACTACGTCGTTTCGCTCGGTAATGGTCCGCGAGTGTTTCTCGCGAGACCGACGCGACGTATAGTTGGCAAACGAATTAAAAATTATTGAAAATTATCCTACCCAATCGTTTGGAAATCATTAGGAGATATTTGAAAAAAACTTTTCAGAGTTTGAAAAACCATACATTAATCACAATTAATTAATCAATTAAGCGTATAATTAGCAGAAAGTATTTAAAAAATATTTTTTTTTTAATCCAATCGCTCCAGAATCATTTGGATAATGTGTCGATATAATTTTTATTTTTTATTATTTAGAAAACAACTGTATTCTAATAAAAAGGTAATTCTTCAGTTTAGCTACCTCAGCACAGAAATCGATGCAATTAGGCTTAATCACGGTCTTACATACAGGTCTGGAAACTCAGACCGATTTCGGTGGTGGGGGATGGTCGTTTTAGCAAGGAAGAATTTATTTCACGGCGTTGTCACTATGCATCGCTGTCATCGCGAAGTGTAGATGGTATCCCATGGTAACGTGACAACAATTTTTTAATTGCGCTTAATTCAAGTGCATTTTTGAAAATGACATATAATGAATTAAATTTT